ACTGGCGTCCTGTCCAGGGTGTGTGAGTGCCTGTGTGTGTGTGCCCTGTGATGGACTGGCGTCCTGTCCAGGGTGTGTGAGTGCCTGTGTGTGTGCCTTGGGATGGACTGGCCAGGGTGTACTCTGCTTTGTGCCTGTGGCTCGCCCTCGACTCTGTACTGGATAAAGAGGTCGGAAAAGGGATGGATGAAGTCTTGTTCCCTCGTCTCCGCCTAGTTTCCCAGCTATCATGTGCCGTAGCCCTTTGCTCCTGCCATTCTGTGTTCTGTGTCTGTCCTGTACTGATCGAGTCCTTGCGGGTTTCAGCTCGACAGCTGCGCCTGGCCTTCCTCATGCACTCGTGGAAGGACACGCTGGATTACTCCCCCAACACCATGGAGTCAGCCATCCAGTACGAGAGGTTCATGAATGTGAGCAAATAGATCTTTCTTTCCCTTTGCCTTCAGGATCACTTCTGCAAGACACCTTACTACCACGGCCTAGTGCGAGATAATGCGTCTTCGCTTTCTCAGGGTCACTGTTCAGCTTCATTTGGAAATGTACAAATGGCCGTCTTGAATCTTCGGTGCCTTTCCTTTAATAATGCAACAAACAGAGTGCATGATAATAATAGCTGGTGCCTTGAATGCCATCTTCTGTTCCATGTGCTGTCTGATTATACTTCTGCTGAATTCTTCCTACCTGTAGGAGATTGAACCAAGGGGAAGGAGATCGGATAGTCTCTATAAATCCAGTGCTGATTAAAATTACAACCACACTGTAATTGCAGTACTGATCGAACTATGGTAATGATGTGGAAATATTTGAAACTTTCTCAGAGTGTCCAAAAGTCCCTTACATAGTAACTGACCTTAAACAATAATGATCTTTTTATGAGTAATTTCTGTTAAATTGAAAAATCTTTACAAACAAATATTTTAAAGACGGGAAGTTATATGACTGTAGAAGACACTGTTGTGCCGTTCAGTCTACAAACCACAGTAGCTCCACTAAGATTCACTTCCCTCTTACTGTTACTGCACTTCCTTACAGCAGCCCGTTGCTTGAAATTCAATATCTCAAAATAGGATAAATAGCTATTTATGTGACAAAAATAAAATTCTTCCTGATTCAGGCATTTCTAACCCTGCTTCTGGGCAGCCCTACTCCAGAAGTTATTTTTAGCAAACCATGAAATCACCAATTCACTATACACCTGGAACCATTTCATTGGGATCAATGGCTGGCGATTTGTTAAATTAATTTCAAAAATAGTTTGGAACATAAATGTGGCCCTCACGGACCAAGTTCCCATATTTAATCAATGAAGCAGATAATGTGCTCGATTACTTTTTTTAAAGCTTTCCCACTCATTAGAAACGGGTGATTCAGGATGACCAATAAGTCTTACTGTTTTTGGAGTTGTCTGAGACCATGATTCGCATTCCCTGCTCCTAGTAACCAGGCCGTTTGTATTCCTGTCATTGCTGTAGGAGTTCTTTTTAAACGTCAAGGACATCTTAAGAGCTCCGACGGACCTCACGGGGCAGTTTGAGAAGTGGGAGTCCCCGGAGATCGAGCTCAACCAGAGGTGAGAGGGCTGATGGACAAGAACTGCTCTTGATTCGTTAGAAATGAGATACTCAGACTTGGTCTTTAAAAAAACCTTCAGGAACTCTTTGCTGACATGTCACGGCCTCTGCGTTCTGTGTGCAGCTTCTGTGACAGGAAGGCCGCGGTACATGTGGCGCTGTGTGACAACATCGACACCCGCACTGCCCTGGAGGAGATGAGGGCCATGGTCAGCCAGAGTAACACCTACATCGCCAATAGGAAGAGTGCCAAGCTGGCACCCAACAGGGTGCTACTGCAGAGCATTGCCACCTACCTCACAGACATGCTCAAGGTGAGAGAAACCTCTGCTGTCCTCTGTGCCTCCTTTACAGGAAACAGTGCAGGTCCAGCAATGCAGTGTTCTGGGTATAGGTCTGTAGTATCACCCGTCATGCTTGCTTTAGCTTGGTTGGAAATCACTGTGTCCAGAACTGCTGCAGAACTACTGTAACAGCCTAGTCTGAGCCAGTTACTCAGTCAAACCAGGCAAAGCCACAGAAGTTTGAGAAGGTACCTGCTGACGTCAATCTCTGTTCCTCCAGACCTTTGGATCAATAGAAGGCACAGAACCCATAGGATTCCCGGTTGGAGGACATGGACAAAATGTGGATGTGAGTAAGACACGAACATGCCATTCCATTAGAGACAGGTTTTAGACAGCACATGTTTTGGAAAAATAAAGAAGGATTGATTTTGGACAGAAACCTGGATTCCAAAAATGTCTGTGAAGTCCAGGAGTTTTCTTAAAAGAAGGGTGAGAGTAGTTTTATAAACGGTAAATGGAAGCAATTTCTTATCGCTGTTTGTGTTTGTTAACATAAATTTCAATATTTATGAATAGTCTTGATAAAACTAGATTTTCCTTGAATTAAGTGGTCACTTAAATGTGGGGGAACAGGAGAAGTGAACCAAAGAAAAAACCCTCACAGCGCTACAGGATGGTACATGTTATTTGTGTATTCTTCTTACTTGCAGCTGGAGAGCACTGTCCTGCCGTACTTGAAAGTCTTGTCTGATTTCAGGGAAGGAGTTCGAAAGATTGCCCGAGAAAAGAAAGGTCTGTGGAAATTTGCTCCTCCCACGTGATTTTGTATGATTTGTTAATGGAAAAAATTGACAGGGGCAGCATGGGGGCACAGTGGGTAGCATTGTTGCTGTGCAGCACTGGGGCTGCAGGTTTGATTCGGGACCCGGGGTGCTATCTGAGTGGGGTTTGTATGTTCTTCCTGTGTTCACATGGGTTTCCTCCCACAGTCCATAGACATGCTGGTAGGTCAAATGGTTTCTGGGGAAATGAGCCGTGTCTGTGTTTGTGTGATGGACTGGGCTGCGATACCCTGTCTCTTACCTGTTGCTTACCAGGATAGGTTTCAGCTCCCTCTGTGACACTGAATTGGAAGAAGCCATTAGAAAATGAAATGTATGGATGGATTGGTGGATGGAATAATTAGATTGCTCCTTACCCACAGAACCGTAGCCTCTTCCATTGTTTCTGTTTTACATAATGTTCCTATCCCATTTGGTAGTAATTAATTGATGCAAGGATCTCCTCCAGCCAGGATTGCTATAACAACATTGCTTCCACACATTATCGAGAAGGTGTAAGTGATCTATCAATATAAACACCTTTGTCTTTTTCATAAGTAGTCTAGCTCAGCATTTCCCCTTTAGTATTTATTGTTTGCGATGACAAACCTTGCACTGGTCTACATACAACTCCATCTGCCAGAATCCAGATGTGAAAAGGTGTAAATCAGTTGTTATTATGAATCGGCAAACCATGATTTTCATTTCTAGTAAAATGATTGCAGAAATGTTATTGTGAGTCCGTGGGGGTTCAAACACAGTGGAATTAAACCTGAAGTAAAACAAACCGGGATATTGATTTGCATTTTTTGACCAGAAGGTGGCAGCGTAGCATACTGATACAGAAAAACTTTTCTGCCTGGAAAAACTTCAAAATTTCAAACTAAACTGAGGATAAAGAGAATGAATTTAGGACAGAAACTAAGAAGCCTTTACACAAAGATTGTACGGCTCTAAAATAAAGCTCTCAGCTATGGTGTTGAAGCTGATTCCCTGGAGTCTCTTGGGAAATGACTGGGAGAGATCCTTCAGTTTACGCGATGCCAGCAAAAGCTGCTGTAAAGGTGGCCCACATCCCCCCCGGCCTTTATAACCTTCTAAATGGTTACCTTCTACACAATATAACCCAGAGCACTATTGGTAATTAGCCTGCTAAATGTCAATTTTTAAAAATCTTCAGGCTCTAACTTGACAACACAGGCAGATTGTAAACTTGCAAAGCAGCATTTTAATCACTGTGCTAATCCCTTGAGCTGGATACAGTCTGCCTTGCTGTTCCTGGGTATCCACTGTGTTTTTGTGTTGCCTCAATTGTACAATATTCCAGGGCAGTACTGACTTGGCCTTGACCTCAACGTCACATTTTAGGTCTTAGGACCTCAAAGACCATCTTAATACCCCTGGGGAAGGACTAATTAAGATCTTAGTAAATGCAGCAACATCCTGATCTTCAATTAAAAATAGTGTAATTTTTTCTTTTGGTTTTCAGGAATAATGTAGGATTTCCTGGCAATTTTATTCGTCTTTTATTTTTGTAAAATGTATATATGTATGTAAAATGATTATGAGAGTTTTGTAAGTTTTGGACATTTAGGAAATTAAATGTGTCTTGTTTCTAGTGATGTGACGGTCACCTGACACCCCGGTTCAGGTCTCCTGCAGACTGGTAATGTGTAGAGTGTAGAGGCCTAGATGAGAGGTTATAGACTTACACAAGCATACGCTGCTGGTTAATGTTGTTATTATTATTAAATACTGCTACAGAATTTAATGTTACAAATTTATTTCAAAATACTAATTAAGATCTTCTCTTTTTGGTTCTGAAATATTTGTGGACTCCTTCCTTCAACATCACAATGACATAGAAGTCATTATGTAAGAACATCTCAGCACTGTTGAAAAGCAGTGAAATGAATCTCAGCACTGTTGAAAAGCAGTTGAATGAAAGCAGTTCTGTTAAAAAAGCTTCTTACAGCATAAAAGAGAATAAGAGAGAGACAGCAGTTTTGATGCTTAGGTGTCTAGCCAGTCTTAAACAGTAGCATTTAGATGACCCTGCTGCTCCTGGAGAACATGTTTCTGTTTTTGAAGCAAAGAGAATCTGTTGTCTTCACGAGCAAAAAAAAAAGCTATTGGACCTTTAACAAAAGACCAGTGGTTATATCCTGATGAGCTTTTGATTTAGTTTGATTGTGACAGAGTTGGTGAATTATTTCTTACTGGTTTACCTGGGTTAAAAAATGGGATTGTTTTAAGAGCTGTGTGGCACAGAAACTGCAGGAGGTTCCAGTCAGTGTGTAGACCCCCATGTGCTCACACGTGGATGTTTTTCCTAACTCTCCTTGACAGTGACAGAGATCCTGCAGCTGTGTGACGCGGTGAGAGACGACATTCTCCCTGAGCTGGGTGTGCGACTCGAGGATCACGAGGGTAAAGTCAGCAGCATCTCGCAGCTCACTCTGAATCCTGATATCTTGCACTGAGCAGGGTGTCTCAAGATAAGTTCAGCAAGGCCAGCATTGGGCTGCAGCAAGGAGTCTGCGTGTCAGATGACTGGCGTGGACTGTGGAAGCTAAAGGCAGGACTGTCCAGTCCTGGTCCCGCAAGGCAGTGTGTCTGTTAAACCAGCTGGTTACTGGCTTAACCGGACCACTTTAACAGCTTCTCCCAGATCTTCGGGGGCTGCTGCTTTAAAGAGACCATAAGCCATCTGCTGTTTCTCAGTGATTAATCCAGGTGGAGTTTCTCTAAATTAACATATTTACACAGGGAGTGACCAAACAGAACATTCCTCCAAGGCAGGGCCTTGTCTCAGTGTCTTTCGTTAAATCTTCTTTTCTTTTTGACAATGTTAGGTGTTCCTCAGCTAACAGACAGCTGCTGCGAGCGAAACAAAAAGTTTAAAATAAAAGCGGATTAATTTTTCCTGAAGGACAGCACGCTCCAGCCATTTTCTAGCCTGCGTCTCCCCTGAAGACTTAGTGTGCGAGTGCTAATATTTCATTACTGCCATGGATGGGCTTCCGATGTGTTTAGAGTGTAAAAGTGGAGCTTTAGCACCGTATGCTTACAGAACACGGTTTCAAAGACATGCTCAACGGTGCAAAGCTTTGTTTAGTGCTGACCCCCGGACAGAGGCGGCGCAGCCCGTCAGCCGACGGCGAGTAAGTGCTTCTGTGGTGTTTTGCAGGCCTTCCCACAGTAGTAAAGCTGGTGGATCGGGAGACTCTGCTGAAGGAGAGGGAAGAAAAGAAAAAGGTAAACTGACGTTTCTGAACATTGCAGCCAAAGCACCAACCTGTTCCTTGAGAAGGCCTCCTGCTGTAGTGATGGCAACACAGCCGGACTTTTCCCTGAGTCTGGAAGAACTGCTCTGGGCCAGCCTGTTTGGAAATGTGCAAGGATTCAAGGAAAGAGAAGGGAAAGCAACAGATCATGAACATGATGTAGGCATGGAAAAAACAATTAGCAGACTTTTCAGTGAATATAAAGGCACTTAAATGTCTGACGAAGAAAGGTACAGCTTTTCTGTTTCAGGTTAAAATTCCAAACCAGACTAAAGCCACTCTGAGTGCTGTTACTGGTTACGTAACTTAGAAGCACTAGAATATGCTACCTTGTACTGTAAATAACGCACCTTCACAATGAAGCATATAAAAGGTCACTGAACAGAAACACAATACTGTGCATTTTTATGAATAGACAGTGTCTGTTTCATTTGTGACTTTAGGTCTGTAGATCATCTTTTAGGAATTTCCCAGTACCTATTAAACACTATGTGTACACTGCTCTGGATTTTCTCTCAAGCATTTAAAAGATTCACTTTCCAATGGGAGGAGACTGAAAGTATACAATTGCTTCTGAATCTAATGAAAACCGCTGAGCTCTGGTCTAAGGGCAGGTCTTGCATTTTTCTGCAAAATCCAAAAGGCTCAGCCGTGCATCAGAAGTGACCTCACAGCTGCGCATTGTCAGCTGCTTTTCGGCACAATGTGTCAAATGTGTCCGTCTTGCCTTTCTGATTGGGAAACAGCTGCTGTAGCTTCCCTTTAAAAAGCCTGCTTCCGTGTGATCTTGAGAAGGATTGGAATCCCACATGCCTGAGCCAGTAAAATTACAGTAGGCGTGCACTACTCCTCCCTTGGAGACCCACAGTGTTAGCAAAGAGGACACTTTTAGAGAGGCTTTGAACTGAAGAGGGATAATAAAGAATTTCTAAGCTTCATAAAACAGGACTGGGATATTTTAAGGAAGACAGTGAGGGGTTGCCCTACTTGGCTGAATGCTATTGAAGTTTGAATGCTGCTGTGGGAGGTTGACTCCTTGGTTTGTCATGTAACTGTGCCCTCTGTGATGTGCCAAGGGTTTGTGAAACTGAAATGCACCACTCCTCCATCTGTTGGTCACTCTGCGACTCCGATGTGGAGCGTTTGGCTTTCCTTGGTCCTCCTTCCCCCCCCTGCTTGTACAAGGACATGAAGCACGAGATGAACCGAAGATCCGTTGGGGTTGTAGTGGGAAAGAGCAAGAAAGAAGAGATTTGAATTGCTACTTTCCAATGTTTTTGGAATAAACAAAAAGGGAATATTTTTAGCTTACGGTTGCAGGAAAATTTACGTAGTGTGAGAATGGACTTGCTCAAAGCTGTCAGAAGATAGGTCTCCGATTAGTCACAGTAAGGACTGACCTGGTTGTGTTGCAGATCTTATAAAGTCTGTCTGACGTCCAGTTCATTTAGTGGGAAGAAGGGTTGACTGAGGGTGAATCTTAAACTGTTTGACTGGAACAGTTGGAAATGCTGCATGCCTAATCATCGGATACTGCACATAATTCATAACTAATGAACGAGACCACTAGGATGTTAGGGGTGTTGGTAGTGAGTGCAGTTTCCCCAAACACCACCGTAATTTTTTGGATCCTTCACGATGGCTTCAGTACAACCAGAGCCAGTTAGAAAATGACTTCTGTCATCCCTAGGCTGTCCTTTGAAGAATATGATCCCTCTATATTCATTTTTCCCTTTCTTGCTATTTGCAAGTTTTCTTAAGTGTAATCCTGATTGCATTTTTATGTTATTGAAACTTAACATGAGGAAGGAGTTAGAATCTGACAGATAAACTTAGATATTTGATGCAGGTTTGCAGTTCGAAAGGCAGAAAGATTTCAGACCTGCTCTGGGATCCGTGTCCAGTGAGGTGAAACAGCACAGCACAGGAGAGTGGCTGGTGACAGGTGAGACACTGCCTGGCCAGTTAGCTGATTACACGATCACATGTAACCCCTTGCCAAGCTGTCTGAGCACTCCCCACACGCATAGAGAGGTTAATTCGTCAAAATGTTGGTCCTTGGAGAAAACTGAAAACAGAAATTCTGAGGGTTCAGTGCGGTTATACATTTTGTAGTGGTTGTGATTAGGCAGTATTGGATATATACTTTTGAATCATGAGTTCAGATAATGCTAAAATTCATAAAATATTATTATTTTGCTTCACTGCGGGTAAATGTGCTCTTCAAATAAAATGACCTTTTCTTGAAACGAGTATTAACATGAATGGGCACAGCAGTAGCTTGGCGGTTAGTTCTGCTGCCACACAATCTGGTGCATCTGCTGTGTGCAGTTTGCATGCTCTTTACTCTGGGTTAATTATTTTAATTGATGCCCTGTATTCACGTGTTAGGGCCCCCGACTAGCTCTGTTAGTAATAATCTCAGGGTAGAGGGTTTGTGTCCACATCAGGCGCAAGGTCCTCCATGTTGGAGGTTGGGCACAAGGCTAACAAACCTGTCCTGTAAAAAACTAATGTTACTGAACCAGCAACAGGATGTACTGTAGCTGCCCCTGCGTGCTGGAAGGCATAACAGGCAAAACATCCATTCATGTGTTAGTGCCCCTTGGTGGGCTTGTGAATATTGCCTTGTGCTCATTGTCTGCCAGGGTATTGAAAATGGATGGATGGATTATCCTGAATGCTAGGAATGAAGAAGCCTGTTTTTTTTTTGGGGGGGGGAAACCTAAACCAGATTGGCACAGAAAGCACAAAAATTAGTAATTTGGAAAGACACGATTATTCATTTCCTTTTCAGAACTCTGCTTGTCTATTTTATTTTCAAAATATTCAGCACTGACAAGTGCCAGCATGTGTGAGACAGTGCTTAACGTGGGACTGGTATCCTGCACACACACATTTCGGTGTGTCTGTGCTGCCTGTGCCCTAGAGGTGGGGGAGGGGACTGTTAAAAATGCAGGCTTGCTCCAGCTCAGTGCCATCTGCAAAGCGGTGAGCCAGTGCTGCCGTCTGCTGATTTCTGTTGGTGCAGCACCCTGGGGCTGGCAGGCAGGATTCTCAGGGGTGGGGACGGGCTGCGGTATGCATGACACAGGACACAACACCTGCGCTCCAAACCACCCTGCAGTTCCAAATTAGTCAGGCGTATTGTATTGCACAAATGCAGGTGGTACCGGTCTTCCTCAGGTCTTGAAGACATCTGACTTCAAAGCTCATGTTGGCTTTAAAAAGTCTTAAACTTTCATGTTAAAATAATAAAAAAGTGGAGCCTGTAGAACAAGAAAATGCACATTGTGGAACAAAAAGTCCACATTCCTCATTCTGACTGACCAGTGAGAGACAGAGAACATTAGTAAGAATCTTCCCCTTTACTTCTTTCTCCTGCAGAGGAGGATGTTTGCTTTACACTATTACCAAATAAACAGTTGGCTTCAGGATCTGATGCTTTACTTTCAAATGCTCTAGACCAATGCAAGGCATTTAATAACCTTGTTAATAGAGAATATGATTATAGTAATTTGTGTCAAGTCTGCTAAACAGTACAAAATTCTGTTACCCAGTTGCACTGTGGCTGTTAACTTTTTGCTTAGTGGGGCCAGAGAAAATATAATGTCACCGGTCCTGGTGTCACCCAGCCCATCAGTAATTTCCTCATTGTCTCTGGCAGGTGGAGGAAGAGAAGAGAAGGAAGAAAGAAGAGGCAGCCCGCAAGAGACAGGAACAGGAAGTGAGTGGCCAGCAGGCACAGTGCCACACACGTCGTAGGCCCTCTCCTGTCTTCAGCGCAGCGAGCTGATCCGTCTGCTGCTGGACTGGGCTGCGTCCAGCTTCGGCAGCTGAAGAGAGATCTGCCTTTTCCACGAGAGCCTCTGTTCCCTTGGAGTGCTCCGGGTCTCCCGTGACCGCCCTCTGTTCTTTCCCCAAAGTGATACCTGCGTCTGGGGAAGCCAGCTTTCCCCTCTCCATGTCCATTCTCCCTCTGCCACCGTCCAGCCTCTGTCCAGCTTGGACGCTTGTGTGTCTTTATTCACTGGCTGTGCACGGTTATATGAAAAACACTGCATGTAGCACAAAAAGCGACCATTAGCTGTCTATTTTCTATCACATTTAATGCAGTGTGTTGCTGGGCACAATCACCTCGAAACAGTAAATTGTTTCTGCCCTGTACTTGTATTGGGATACCACGGTTATGTGTTTTCTTTCAGATGGCCAAGCTGGCCAAGATGAAGATCCCACCCAGTGAGATGTTCATATTGGAAGCAGACAAGTACTCCAGGTTTGATGAGACGGTAAGAATACAGTCAGAGTCTCCTCTCGCTGGCAGGATTTTCACCTCGGGACTTTGAGAGTTTATCTGTTTGACAAATCACAGAATGGCTTTCAACACAGCAACAGAATTCAGATATAAGTGAGAACAGGAAGAGGGAATCAAGCAGACAGGTTTCTGTGACGCAGAGAGCCATTCTATGAAGTTAACCCCCTTGCCACATTGTAATAAATAATCAATTTCTATAGTGCTTTATAGCAAAGCAAAACATTAAAAACCTGTGATTACAAACTTTAATATCGTTTACAGTTAAGAAGTTACTTTTGACTGTCCTGCTCATCTGCTATGAGCTGAGACGTTTCGACATTGCCTTGGAGCAACAGAGCAGGACACACACTCTCCTAAAGTTCAGAGCCCAGTTTGGGGAACTGGTAGAAGACCAGAGTTAGAAGACCACAAATGAGGTGTATGTGTATAAAGAGGCAACAGGTCACAGACGTAGTCAGGTGCCAGACACTGCAATCCCTTTTAAAGGGCAGTGACAGGATTTTGGATTTTATTCTGAAATCCTAATGGGAGCCAGTGAAAGGTGTTTACGAGCACCTGAGTTATGAACATATGTCAACTTGTTTAGAACATGTCGGGATACCGCAGCAATAATCAAACCTGAAAAAACACGCACTTTTATTTGCTTCTCTGTATCATAATGAGGAGAGACATGGACTGATGCAATACCTTCACAACATTGCAATCTTCAGATGCAATGCTCAAATTAAAGGTAACATGGAGACTTCTCACCTGCGTGTTTGGACTGATTCCAGCACTATCAGTAGTAAAGCTAAAGGTGACAGTTGTGGAGCTGATATAAAGAGCATGAGATCAGATTTGTTGAGTTTAGATGTACCAAGTCGAAAGTCATCTGACGTGATGCTGGTGACTGCTGTGTCTAGTTTGTGCATAGCCTGTTGGTTCAGAAAAATACCACTTTCATATACATTTTTTTTTCATTTAAGAGAGTGCAGCCAAAATCTTTTGGCAGAGTTTTGCAGTTACCTTTACATGCCCAATGCAAAACTACACACCCAAAATGTAAGTGTATATAATAAAATGAGGGAAATAAAACTGCTTCATAGTGCCTTTTCGTGCACTAGGAGATTTTGTCAATAACATCATATTGGTAGAATGCCAGTATATTCAAGATCTTTTGAATAACTTGTGTGACATGTATGGTGAGATACAAACATTAAGAACAGCTGTGGTGTGATTTTACCTATACCATGTGCACTTCGTGTTAGGCGTGTTCCTTAAGTGTAATTATTTCAAAGGAGTATTCAACATGCACGAGCACATGCAGTAAGTGGAGAATTGAATGCGTATCATTATTGTTATCACAGTATTAAAGATCCTGGCACCCTTAAGTACAAGTACTGAAATATTGCATGTACAGTTTTAGTTTGAGTTCACATATCTACAAACAAAGTATTATCAAACGTTTTCCCCTTTCTCCAAACGTGAGAGTTGATAGGAGCTACAATGATCTCAAAGTGCTTTGATTTGTTTTCTTGCTGCTGACAATATATACTGAGATGTACATGCTGTTGGTTCCCATACAGACTTATTTCATTTTAATACCTCTTGGTAGGAAATGATGGATCTCATGTTATTTGTAAACTGTAATTTAATAAAGATTTATCAATTTGACCTTTAACGCTCATTTTATAAATTCAACAGGGTTTTCCCACACATGATTCAGAGGGCAAGGAGATCAGCAAGGGACAAACCAAGAAGCTGAGGAAGCTGTATGAAGCTCAGGAGAAGCTCCACAAGGAGTATCTGGAGATGGTTCAGAATGGGAGCAACAGCTGAGAGATGGATGGCTGACCACCAGCCTGTAACCGAGCACTGATCACTCTGTCCAGACCTGACGGGCAACATGATGCCCCATTAACCTGGCCAGGGATTTATCATGGGATTTATCGGGAGCATTCCTCACCTTTTCTTTCTTCTGTAAAGTTTGTGATCAGAGAACTGTGAAGTAAATATGCAAAAGACGAGTGTTGGTGTCTATCCTTGCAAACACGTTTGACGGAATGTAAAATGAAGTGAAACCCGATGTGTTTCAGTATTGATTGTGCTGCCAAATATTTCTTAGTTACTAGAAAATCATGCTTTGTCATGCTTACCCGTCTACTCGGCGAATTGTGAACAAGAGCAGTACGAGGAACAAGAGGATATGTGTTTTTAACTTATCTGAGACCTTTTAAATGCAGGTAGAGAACCAGCTTTTTAAGGTTAAGCAGACACAGTCTTTGCCTATTTAAGAATCAATAAATGGATTGGTTTCACAATTTTAAGCATTGATTGTTGTGGGGGACAGTATATGAAAGATCATTTTTTTAGACGTTGGGTAAACATAGTTACCTTTTTTACTTGTCTGTGAGAAATTAGCTCTAAACAATATTTTCTTATCTAGAAGACTTCTGTAAAATATTTTAGGTATTTTTCACTAAAGCTTTGTAGGTGTTGCTATGCAGGGAAAATCAGGAATGGGGTGAACGTAGACCAGCTGGTTTCAAAAAGAAATGTCATTCTCAGCTTCAAAGGTGGTCCGCATCTCTGAACACAAAGTACTTGCTCACAGTGTCGCAAGAGCATTGCATGAATCTTTGGGCTGTCTCTGTACACACTGACCTTGTGCACAGTTTTACTGCAGAGATTGTTGTCCAATCAATCATGTCATTGCATTTAAGTTGCATTTTTTCATTCCATCCAAAAACGTCTCTGACAAGATGGAGGAAACCCTTTACCACACGTTTTGAACAGTATGCTGTAATTATTTATACTTGTGTTTCAGTATCCATATGAGGTTCCTAAGCCTCACAGGAATGCACAGCTTTGCGGTTGAAAGAAAACCTGGCAGCTCTCTGTGATTTAAATTCTACTATGCTCTTTCTTGTCCTGTGAGCACATCTAGTTTTAGTTATCTAACTTTACTACTTCCAGCACTGCCATTTGGGTGATAGACTGTATAATCATTAAGAATAGAGCTATGCTAAAACCTGAGTTAGACAATTCTGAGAGAATTGAAGACTAAACCAACCCTTGTTAACGATCACATGTGAACGTTCCATCTGTTCTCTTACCGTCCTGTCCCACTGAGGGCTGCGGAGGAGTGGGACGCTATCCAGGTCAGCAGTGGACGCAAGGAAGGATACACTTTGGATGGGACGTCAGTCCATCAGGGGGCACACACGGACACAGTCACGCACGCTTAAGCCGGTTAAGCCTACCGGTATGTGTTTGGACAGTGGGAGGACACCCAAACCCCACGCAGATACTGGAGCACCCCAGGTCTGAAATTGAACCCAGGGGCCCGTTGCTGGCCCACTACGCCGGCCCCTCTGAGTAATCAATGAGTCCACATTTCTTGCATCGTGTGCTGAAAATTTGTAAAAGTTAACCAAAGTTAACTGTACTTCCTCCAAGTTAAGAGACGTATGAAGGTAATTGCATGAAATTAATGTTCCTCTAGGTCACAGAAATGAAAAGAAACTTGTCTGTATATTTTACATTATCTTTTTTGTTTCATTGTAATTGGAGTGAATGGGGATATTTTCGGATCTATGGTAAACTCGAACACATAGAAGAATTTACAATGAGGTATCCACTGGTATATGTACACAAAAGATGTTTGAGAAACCTTTGTAAACTTCCTGTTTTCATGGGTGGGCTTCTACATGGAAAGATGGGAAAACAATACAATATTCAAAATTCTTAAATAGGATAAATCTGTGAAAACTCCCAAAATATGGTGGCTTTTATATAATTTTTTAGATATGTTTCTTGCCACATAATAAAGACTTTTTCTCTATTATACCCCAAATTACATTTTTTAACGTTTTTTTGGTTTTATTTAAAGTTTTTTTTATAGTCAATTATAACCTTTTCTAATATTCTGCATATTATCAAAAGCCATGCCATCGAAGGGTAAGACTGTTGCCTGCAGCAGCAGAAGGGTTGAAAACAAGCAGGCCATTAGGAGGAGTTTTCTTGCTAATGTCTGGGAGGGTGTGCAGAGCTCTTTATCAGTTCATGTTTCAGTGCCACATCCCAGTGTCAGTGCTCTGGGCTATTCTTGTTGGTTCTTTTGTGCGATCATGGTGATACGAGAAACTGACTCTGCACTTGGGCTTTAGGTGCGACTATTCATACAATGGCTTCACAAATCCTTCTGTGAGAGTGACTGGATATCAAGTCACACGGATTGTGCATTTATTCATTTTTAATTGCCAACTAGACGTTACTGTCCATTATTCGTGAAGCACAATGGATCAGTATCTTTTAAAAGAACTCTAGTATCCAGCTTTTTTCTCTTTATTTTTTAATCATCTTAAGTTATATATGCAATATTAAAAATGCATCTCAAGCACACTGTAAAAAATGCATTCTAGTTTTTTTTAAGAGAACGTTGTTCAAGAGTAAAGGAGAAAAAAAGCTAAACTTTTAAAAGACTGGATTGTTTTCCTTTTCCACCAGGTCATGTATTATATTAAGCCTTTGCTACATTTTTTCCTGCACGAATTAAGTAACCTAAAACTGACACTTTACCAATTCCCTGTTTTAGCAGTGTTTAGTGTTAATTTGTGGTTAGGGCTCTGGGTTACCACTGTAAGTTTGTGGGTTCAAGTCTCTTCTACAGAAGTTGTGGGTATATTTTTGAGCAAGGTACTGTATTTTGTTTTTATTACAGTTTGCTATCCAGCTGAAATCTAGCATTACCATCTGTAACCTTGTCACTATGGAAACCATGATAAGGCCTGATCTGATCTATAGAGATGAGTTTGGATTAAAAAAAAACAAGTTTTAGCATAGCACTATATCGCGATTTATCTTTCTTTTATTAAACTCCTAGAGCTCAAAAACTCAAGACAATTCAACATTTCTTTCCAGTGCTAATGAATCTTCAATCTTTGAAAAAACAATGTCTCATCCTGGAATATGTTATGCTTTTTTTGTTAGCCAAGGTTTTCAAGATGGACTCCACCCCCAACATATCAGCTTGCAAGACTCGATGTCTCTCCGTTTCCTTTCCTATGGACAGCTCTGATGAGGAATCGAAAAAGAAGCAGGCTGAGTACTGGTTAGAAAATGAGCCTTGGCCTTTCAACTAATCGGTCTCTTTTTTTGGTGTTAGTTCCTCTTTATCCCTCACCCACATTCATGTTCAAAACTAACAATCAATTGATTGTGCTCTGTGCTCCAGGTGCAAAACACTGGCTTTCCTTTAGCTTTCTCCGTCAATTCTCTTCCTTGCCGTCATTTGGAAGGTAAGCTTTGAATGTTTTCTTTCAAACCCCACTTTTTAGTACTCAATTAATTTATTTATCACAGACCTATACAACACATTTCCACAAAGTGCTTTACAGGTAATGGGGACTCCCCTCCACCACCAGTGTGCAGCCCCACCTGGATGATGTGACGGCAGCCAGAATGCGCCAGACACTGACCACACACCAGCTCTCAGTGGGGAGGAGAGCAGAGTGATGCAGCCAGTTCAGAGATGGGACTAGGAGGGCATGAGTTTATTCTGATCATCTGTATAAGCAAGCACTACATCTTCCTTACTTATCGCTTCTCCACTCTAGTGGAGAGCAATAATGCAACATTTATAAATGCTAAAACGCCATCTATCGCACGGCTCTCACACAGTCGCACATATGGGGGAGACAATTTAGAAACACCAGTTCATCTAGAGCCAGCGTGTTCTGGGAGATAACAGGAGCTTGGGGTGACGATCCACACGACCGAAGTCCAAACAGCAGGGCTCCTTTGTGCTGCGAGGAACCAACACTTACTGTCACGGCATACAGCCACCCTTAACCAACATAACCAGAGACTCCCAGCCCTTACTCAGTGTTACTTCTCGATTAGCAACACCCATTCGTTATTTACCGTACACGCCTCACTACCTCCCTCCCAGTTAGTGCAACTTGCCCGTTACTCAATTCCTTTCAGACCACTAATGACTGCGATGGCTTAGGCCTACTGCCGTCTTGTCTTTTAACCATCCGACGGCTTTAAAACTGCATAACACACAACACATAAACTGGACTAAGTACTCATCGCCGCCCTGCAAACATTTCTAATTTCGACTCCCTGCCTGCGGACTCCCCCGTCGCAGACAAGTAACCAATGGCGTGCGGCCTTGCTTGGAATTCCTCCTTCTCGTTAGGGCGCTTCGGCCAATCAGAGGCGGCGTTAGTGCGGGGTGAGGACCCTTCGTTGCGGCTGGAAGCGTGAGAAAAGAAGGCGAGCAGCTCTGAGGTAATACACAGGCAGAAAAACTCGATCTTGCGGGGGGGAGGAAAAAATAAAACGTCGTTGATTTCGGTGGTAAATTATTGTTCTGATTGAGCGGAGAGGGGACGTCAGCGGGAGACTAGATCAGAGAGAATTGCTGCGTAATGTTGGCGAAATTCCTATTTAGGCACATGTGGGGGATTTAAGTGAGCTGGAAAGAAACAGGCGCGCCTGTCACCGAGGGAGAGAGAGAGAGAGTGAGGAGGAAAAAAAAAAACTTCAGATGGACACTGGCAAACTGACTTTGAATGCGTTGTCGGGAGCTTAGTCGAGATCAGAAACTGATAACGCAGTCCGCCGCCGATCCCCGTCCGGGTGCAGACGGGCTGAAGACAGGCCGTTTTGTGCTGCATTTGATTTAAAGTTCTGCGTCTTGAGTTACTTGGCTGAGTAAGACGATTTCACGTCGACGCGGTTTAAACCAGCCGGCGGACGCAGGTCGAAAATACACGACCCTTCCAGGTGACAGTTGCCAGTTTTTATATATAACATATCTGTTGTTAATTTCTGTTGGGGGGGGGGCGTTGTTTATGCTTTTGAATCGCAAGGCAGCGAAGTGCCGTCCTCCTGTTTGACAGCCCGGCGGCGGGGGCTGTCGCCAGCGAGGGTGAAGAGCGACGCTTTGACCGCTGACTTGTTCATACCGAGCCACGCACAAAGTTTATTTCTCCATTCGAGTGAAAACTGGAAGCAGAGATGTAGACACACGGACGCGTTGTCTCGTATCAAGCTGGCTGCGTTTGAAAGGCTCCACATCCGTCTTGTCATATGGCTTTTAATTAGACGTTTAATGTGTTGTTTAAAACTTTTTAAAAGTTAAATGCCGAGGGAAAAATCGTCAGAAACGATCTTGTATCCTTATTATTTTTTGCTGTCACCACCTCTTGGATGTCATTACGCGTCTTTGGTTTATTTTTGTATTGTGTACAACTTTTGTAAAAGTCACTGGTTTCACATATGAAGTGCTTGCAGTAGAAAATAGCGGACACACTGTTCAATAATTACGGAAGAGAAACTTTTATGTCCTGAAGGATTTTTTTTCTGCTGCTCAAATTGTGGTCTGTAACTGCTGTTTCCTAGTTTACCTGATTTTGTTTTGTACTTTTGACACCAAGGTTACAAATCATGCTCAATATCTTGCCTTTCACCCGTATATTTAACCTGAGAATTCATTTTTTTTAGGTGTGCAACTGCATTAAATAAACGGAGAAATTAAAAATGTTTGAATATCACTGTAACCCAATTCCGGGTTGGTGAATCTTGTATGCACGGTTTTGCGTTGGTATTGAAAGTAAGATTTGTATGGAAGCAGCTCTCGCTGTTGTTCAGGAGGCCGGATCTGCTTTCCTCACCCGATTTCCTTGGCTTCAGCTGTAAGGATGATATTTTTCAGGAGGAAATGTTGTTGTACTGAAATCCCAAGTAATATTTTATGCTGCAATAACACCAGCAAATGAGATGCACTGTACTATAGGAAAGAATGTTAATTGCACAACTAATAACAGCATGGGGTATAGGTCTCTCCTTTATGTACTGGTAGAGCATAGAGGTTGTTTTGTTCACACCGCTGATGAGCCTCGTCTTCTGTTGCAGTCAGACGTGGCCCAGCTTTTGCGATGGAGGGAGAAAAGAATGAAGTCAAAGGTAAATATTGCACTCGTGGGTGATCCTTCTGATTCGTTTTTCAAGCACCTGACAGGGTTCCAGCAGTGTCTGCCAGGTCCTTCCTGCAAAACCTTTTATTCCGGTCATGTCCCGGATGGAAAGTGGTGGTCTGAGGGTCCGAAAAGGTGCCGCTGTTTTTGTATGGCAGTGTCATTGAAACTGCATGAAAGGGGAGTGGCTGTCTGCACTGGAGCACATCTGGCTTGGAAAGCCACTGCAGTCTGTGTTGCGTGTTGCATCCTGCATGCGAGTAAGACAGATGAAGTCAGGGCTTTCTGATCACAGCAGTTCAGCCTGGTTTTTTTCTTCTGCACAGGATGATCTAAATCCCCGTGGGGTATCATCCACATGTCTCTAACCCGAGCTGTTTTGAAACTTGCAGGTGGCTGTAGTTGTTCTCCCATCATTCCTGACCCTGACCCTGACTGTAGGTTCGATTTATTCTTTCTGAAATGTCTCATAGCAGGAACCGAGCCAAGTGTGGTTGCTGGAATATTATACCCTTTGACACAGAATGGAAAGCACATCTTACACAAGTCACATTCAAAATACCCAAATTTGCATGGATATCCTGCTGCAGCACAACCTCAGAGGAGTGATTTAATTCTCAACAAGTTCCACATGTAGTTCTCCCTGTGGACCCGTGAAGCTCTCTAGTAGGGATCTAGGGTTTCTGGAAGGGAATGTAGCAGGCTATGGGTGCCCTGCTGTGCATTCTCTGCCTAGCTGCAGTGAAAGTGCGAGAGTCTAGGCCAAGCACCTGTTCTGTCACACGCTTGTGTAAGATTTGCCCAATCACTTTGGGTATTATTTCTTCACTTGCATAAGCCTGTGTTGTTGTTCCTGGAGGCTAGCGCAAATGGTTTTATACTATTTACTGTACTAGGTACCATCCCATGTGTTGCAAACATTTATTGTGTACCTACATAAGCATTTTTTTACCCGCTCAAAACAGTTTGGATCTCCATTGTTTTGGAGTATTTGATCGTGGGAGAATATCCTGCTCATTTGCAAGGCCTTCCTTCTCCTTTGAGCCATTGCTAACTCCACATTCCCCGGCCAGAGGACCTGCAGCTCTGTGGGTAACTGCAGCTCTGCAGGCTTCTAGCAGGTTAGCAGGCTGGGACTTTCTGTTGGTCACAGTTCGACCTGCTCTCCCAGCAAGGACGTTTACTGTGGATGAGCCCTTGCTTGGTGTTAAGACAACTTGCCTCGGTCTGTCCTGGTGGGCCATGCGAATCAAACTAACTCAGAGACTTATTTTATTGTTTTATACGGCTGCGACTGTTTCAGAGCATTAGCATAAAACTCGTAGTTAGTAATGGAATCCAATGTGCACAGCGTATTCAGGCAATAAAAAGACATTTTTTGCTACATCCAAAAAAATCCAGTTCCTATTGTGATATCTGAAATTTGGGTAAAATAAATAAGAGCTGCTTGTTTCTACTTTAGCAGGGTTTCCGGAGAAACCTGGGTTTCCCTGATGCCTCTCAATGTCACACGTGCCCTTACTGCAAACAAACAAGTGGATTTCATTATGCAGTCATTTCCCCAGAGGAGCAATTGCAGTACTGCTGAATGTTGTTGCAGTTAGTTAAAAGAGCTTCCTTAGAGCAGAGTCAGACTCGGCCTGCATACTCCTGTTAAAAAGGTCGATCTTGAACACTTGAAATTAAACATTAATGATACGCTGCCGTATATTTAGTTCAAAATAAACTGATTTTTGAATATTTGTTTGCTGCCTTGAATATTTTTGTTCATTAACCTGCAGGGATGTTCTCAACCTTTTAGATTAATATGAATATTGTTAGTCATCACTATCAATAAAGCAGTTTTGAAGTTGTTAGGCTGTGAAGCAGTGATGCTGAAGTTTGCAGTGTGCATATCAGAGACTCAGCGCACGCCGGATAATTTGTATATATGGAATCCATTATTGATTTTCCCAATTTATGAAAATTGTTCCATTTCTGTCTCCATTGAACGTGACCTACTGTAGGTTAGGGATACTGTTTAAAGTACTGAGTAATTAAATGTCCTTTGTGTGGTAAGCAGTTCATTTAGAAGCCTTGTAGACATGAAGATCGTCTTATTTTCTGGAACACTCGTGATGCTTCTTCCCTGGCAGCGCTGTACCCAGGTGTCATTGAAAAGGTCACCACTCTCCACTTTTGTGTAGCATGAAAAACCAGCAGCAGTTGACAAGGGGGCAGGTGGGGCAGGTGGGTGACTAGGGACTAGCAGGTTCACCTCCTACACTGTCAGCCGTGCTGATTGTGTTTTGGGGTTTTTTGAGATGAGGCGGCCTGTGTAGGAGAGGATAGACCCTCAGGGGAAGGGGGGGCAGGAGCTGGGTGGTTAGACCTGTCAGGGAGCTGAACTGGTTTCTCTCACTCCCGGTGTGAACTGTGTTCATTGTGCAATTCTTTTATTCTGTTTTATTTTTGGATGAAGATGGACATCTTTTATGAGTGTGTGATCCTGTCCTTTCCTCTTGTTTGGGTAGGCAAGGTGGGAGATCAAGTTATGCAGAATCCTCAAGCCCTGGCAGCTCTTCAGGAAAGACTTGACAGTGTGTCCCACACTCCTTCCACCATCATTGAAAGGTAAGGGATTCATTGTGTCACTGGTGAGCTAAACAGTAAACTGGTACGTCCATAACCCCTTATACAACCTGCCTGAGTGTTTCCTGAACACCCTATGGAATATAAAGAAACCTAGGACATTTCTGAGATGAAGAACATGGTACCAACAAAAACTGTCAAGATGCATAATTCATTGTAATCTTTCTTTCTTAATGTGATTGAAGAGGAATGATCAGAGATGACAACATCTCCAAATCTCTGACCAAATCCTCAGTTTAGGAGGCACTAATTTCTCTGGAAAACCCCAGTGTTGAGCAGTTCTGGTCAGTTCACGTGACAGTGGGGGCCGTCGTTTTGGCATCTGCTAGCAGCGCTCACTGTTAAAGCCTGGCTATGAAGTCGGCACTGGGCCATCCCATTGTTTGTGTTGTGGACTTCAAACCCTCAACTCCCAGTCTTCCAACTCCACTGAATTACAGAGCGAAAGCTAGTGCTGATGTAAAACAAATGGATTTAGAGTGCAGTCTTTAAAATATATAGCTTTACTAGCAGTGTCAATTATACTGAACTTCTGAAACATGTCTCGTTTCTACTGTTGCTATATGGTTTATTTATAACAAAGCCCTCAAATCAGAAAGTGCCAGATTGGAGTTGTTTATCACAGGTTAAAGGTAAAAATGTGATTTGTGTTCCAGCTACAGCTGCGTCTAAGACAAACCAAGTTTATTTTTGTGCACACACTTGTCACACGCCCCGGAGAAGAGTGAACTTGAGATGCTCAAAATTCAGAAAGGGACTGACGTCACCCCAGTCTGTTACTTTGTACTCAACATTGGTCTTCTGCAAAAGAGAGGGAAATTAAGTTCAGTTCTTTGTATAGCACAGCTTCATGGGACTGTGTTGTCCTGAGCGTGTCTTTAAGTGATTGGCGGAGTGGACAGGAATAGCATGATGACACTGCACTCTGCTGGCTTCAGATTTATGGACCAACAATGCTGAAGACAGTCAGATAGGGGTGAGAGATTTGTCATCGCTGCTTTACAGACATCTGACCTAAAAATCCTGAAGAACATACTTCGTGTGGTTCTTCACCAGAGCTTACTATGTTTTTTTTTAAACTTCATGCCTTTTAATTAACCTTTCCTTTGATAATCCAAAAGAGGAAGAAAACAACAAGAGCCTCTTGATTGTTTCAGCACTGGACTGTCCAGATAGGAATCACTGATGAGAATTTTGTTTGTTGTTGCAGTTTACCGAGGTCGGTCAAGAGACGAGTCAATGCCTTGAAGCAGCTGCAGGTCAAGTGTGCGCACATAGAAGCCAAGTTTTATGAGGAAGTTCACGAGTTGGAGAGAAAGTACGCGGCCCTCTACCAGCCTTTGTTTGACCAGGTAGGTGGATGATTGATGTGTCTCACTTCTGCACTGTTGGTTAACCTTCTGGCAGCGACCTCTGACCCCAGGTTCCATTCCAGTGCTATATTCATCCCACTAGAACGAGTGGCCTGCTGCCTTACATCGAGTGTGGCTATTTCCACAGCTGGGAACAGTGCTAATGGAGAAAAACGGCAAATGCTGTAGGGTTACAGTAATCCCTACTATGCCCATTTTTTTTAGACGATAGACCAGATCTTTGGAGCGCTTTATTTTATAAAACATCATTGTTAATTTAAGATGGTTCTCCCCTGCTCTGCAATCTTCAACGGCTGTCATATGCAAGACGTTACGTCCTGAAGTAAATGTTTCTCAATGCCAGAAATTGTATGGTGGAAATGTAGTTCTCCGACAGCACAGTGCATGTTTGTCTTGCAGCATTAATTAAGAGAAGAATTCTGAAACACTGCAGCTTTTTCTATGAATGATCAGTGAAAACCTTCAGAACTGCTGTTTACCTGGAGCTTATTGTTCTCCCTGGTGTCTTTTCCTGCAGAGACGAGATGTGGTCACTGGAGGAGTGGAGCCCACAGATGAGGAGTGTGAGTGGCACAGTGACAGAGAAGACGAGGAGGAGTTAGCTGTGAGTGTGTTAGACGTCATCCCTATCTTAAGGGACTTCTGGAAAAGTTGTATCAGTGGCTTCTGATTAAACATGTTAGAGTAAATCTGTATTTCCACAGCCTATATCTAGACGTTCTTATTGTGAATTCACTTCACACCTGAAGAAGGCTTCACAGCCGGAACGTTCTTGGAGGCGCTGGTGGAGGTGAAGGGAGCTGCGTGGTGACCTGCTGTGTTGGTTTACATGCGGTGCAGATCTGACCGCCTTCCTCTCCCTCCACAGGACGAACTGATGAAGAAAGCCACTGTGGAGGAGAACAAGGCGGATGCGGCCCAGGAAGAGGAGCCAAAGGGCATTCCGGAGTTCTGGCTCACAATCTTCCGGAGCGTGGACATGCTGAGCGACTTGCTGCAAGTAATTGTTCCTCGTCTCTTGAGCTTTAGTTTAAAGGCCTGAACCAGTCTAAACATACAGCGTTATCACAGAATGTTAAAGGGGACATCTTTTTGTAGGCAGAAATTGCCTCGGACAGCATTTAAACAGGGCACAACTGCTGTCGCTCTAAAGTTGGGTCCTGTTCCGTAGGCTAACAAGTTGAGGATAGTTGTTTTAAAGAAGAGTCATCCCTAGAACACATATGACTGTACGTGTTGATGAAATAAGATAAAGCCAGACTTCAGAGGAGAGCTGCAGGGTGATATGTGGAAACCCATTATTAAGTAAGGGGTGTGTATGCCGAGATCTGGCAGAAACCTTCAGTTCTTAGGAGACTCTACAGGAGAAAATACTTTGGGATTCTGTGTGAGAAAATTGGTAAGTTGGTAACAGAAAAACGGCGTGTTATGCAGTAAAAAGACATTCTGTGAGACTTTACACTGTTTTTCTAAATCAAAATGGAATTTAGAGATGTAGATAATTTGAGTAAATTGCCATGAATCAGTTGATTATGAAGTAGTATTTCCATTTTCTCTTTTGTCTGAGATGCTAAGACGTGTTTTTTAGGTTTGCCTGTCCTAACTCTGCACCCTAGTGTACTAAGTTGTTTCTACCCAATTACTTGATTGTTTTCCTCAAATTGTTACTGTGGAAATAGTATGAAGCCCTTTTTTAGACCAACAGTGACACCTAGAGGATTTAGTGTCAATGCAGACAGGACTACCAAAGTAAAGGCGCCCGTTTCCTCAGCTACAGAAGCAGAATAAAGAGTCTTACTGAACTGTCAGCAAAGCGCAGCTTTTTTCTTAAAGAGGTGATGAGTAAATTGATCTTAACGCATGTCTCACTGGTTTCCACCTTATCCTTATTTATGTAATTTGTATGATTTGTATCGCACAAAAACATTGGAACAGATTCCTTAAGTGAATAAAGGTCCAGCTCACAAGAATTCCTGATTAAGTAACATAAGTGTCAGTAAGGCCAGTTATGGAAATCATAATAAACAGTTGTCCACTTCTACAATTTGTCGTCTCTGCCAGTGACAAATCCTTTTTAAAAAAAATAAAAATAAACTTGCAGTCCTCAAATGGTCTTCTGTGGTGGTTCCAAGACTAGGCAGTCATATCGATTTCATAATAATCCACTTCAGCAATCCCTGCTTTTGAGAATTTTGTCACTGGAAGGAACTCAGTTTTATGATCTCATTTCTATTGTGTCTTTGTGTGTGCTTAACTGAGGAAATCTTAATTACTAAAATGTACAGTCTTCATTTTATCTTGAAGGTTCTTTCTTTGTAGTGTAAGAGCATTCACCACTGGAATTATTAATTTCAGTACATTTAGCTATATTTTCAAAATGCTTTGGCAGAAAGGTCATCAATGCAATAGATAAGAATATCAGTTGTTTTCCATTCTTTTTGTTAGGAACATGATGAGCCAATTCTGAAACATTTGCAAGACATCAAAGTGAAGTTTTCTGATCCAGGAGAGCCGATGGTAGGTGCAGGTTATTTCATAATAACGTCAAGCACTAGTAACTTGGTGATGTTGCTTAACTTTTGCATTTGCAGTTTTTGTAATTTTTTCGTCTTCATTATTTGAATGCCCGATTTGAAGATCCTTTTGCATAATTCATTTTTAAAATCTACAAGGTAAGCCTTATAATTTAATTTATCAAATATTTTATATAAATCTAAAATAATTTGACAAATATAATAATATATTGACAGTCACATTGTTTGATCTGTGGTCACCATTGCACAGCTTGGTTTCGAGAACAATTATTTTGTTCTTTCTTACAAAAATATGTCATGGCTGTGTGTTAATTGTCCCGACCTTCTGCAGGGAACTTTATTCTTCACCCTCTCGTGTCTGGCCTTTCTTCGGCTTGCTTCTCAAACTGCTTTCTCTTTTGCTGATTGCTCTGTTCTCCTGCTGCCTCTGTCTCTGATGTGACGTATGTCCCCCAAGGTAATGTAAATAGATTGATGCGCAGCTAAACTTATTTTGTCTTTTTTTTTAAGCATTGTAAGTTTTGTGACCCTTAACATGTCATCTTGGGTGAAGGTGAAACCAATCGGCAAATAATGATGAGAAGCTGTAACTCTTATGCGTTGTGTGGATTTTCTTTTTTTTTTTTTGCAGAGTTTTACCCTAGAGTTCCACTTTGAGCCCAACAGTTACTTCAACAACACTGTTCTAACAAAGGTCTACAAGATGAAGTCTGAGCCAGATCCTTCAGAACCATTTTCCTTTGAAGGGCCAGAGATTGTTGACTGTGACGGGTGAGTAAAGACCCGTCATTTCCCAGAGGGTGCCCCTTGTACATGATTCTCCTAGGAGTGGGCCGGGTCACCCGAGTAACCGTGGGAATGAAAATGTGTCTTGTCAAGATCAGTACTCAGGCTTCAGGAAGTGTCGCAGCGCAGATTGGCCAATTTGCAGTCACTCATGTTCACTTAATCCATGAGAGGCCATCAGGACTCTTTGATTTAACAGTGTTACAAACATGGCCTGATAATCATCCAGTTTTCCCATTGGATCACACTTGGACTTGTCCTCAATTTTGTTGGTCCTGGTGTACTCCCAGGACTCCCAGATTTATCACCCATAACACTCCAATATCCAGTCTTTTTGGATGTAAATTCTGTAAAGCTTAACATTGCTAGTCATTTTGGTTCATAGTGTCATAAAGTGTAAAGTTGCTTATCAGAATATTTTAGAGACTCATTTTGTATTTCTTAAATAGATTACAATCCATTCTTAGGATTGCAGTCAGTGTAAAGTGTGACTTTTTGTTCCTTTGCCTGTTCTGAGTGCTGTAATAACCATGAAGGTGGAGTGAGTAAGTTGTAACCAGTCTGGCTGTGCTCACAGCCCTAATGGAATTTCCCCGCTGTCCTCGCCTCCCCTGTTCTGTGCAGCTGTGAGATTGACTGGAAGAAAGGCAAGGACGTGACTGTGAAAACCATAAAGAAGAAGCAGAAGCACAAGGGCCGGGGCACAGTGAGGACTGTTGTCAAGCAAGTGCCCAACGACTCCTTCTTCAACTTCTTCAACCCCGTCAAAGGTACAGGGCTCCCAGTGAAGCAAAGCCAGGCTCACTCAGGCACTGCGCTCACAGTTCCTCCAACCCTGTGTAAAGGAGCACTTAAACGTACAGCTGCCTTGTCATCTACAACGACACATGACTAGTACATGACTAAGCGGTTTTAAATGGTCACCTTCATGCTGTTGGGTTATAATTAGCCTCTTGTTGAAATTGCCTTAGGCAGAGGTCAGTGGGTAGGAGACCTGAGGCTCCAGCTACCTGAATGAAATCCAGTTAATTTCTCAGTCTATGCGTATTGAATTTCTGTCACTGTTATTTTACTCTAAAGCTTATTCTAAGCTTTGTGGCACGTTGATGGCATTATACATTTTATCTTTTAATGTGTCATATTTCATATTGTAAAATATTCAGTATTTCCTTATTTATTTAATGGTCTAGAAGAAGGATATGAAGGTCTCCATAGGATAAAAGTGCCCTCCAGTAATTCGGTGTCCAGTAAGGAAGCAGTGTTCGTTTGGAAGGCTGTACCTGGTGATAGTGACCATGGCTGTGCAGTTATCTCTGCTTCTCAGTAAGTTCAACAGTTTCCCACATGGCTGCTGCCCAGCTGGCTTGTGAGGATTTGTTACATTTCAAAGAGCAAGTCCTCTGTATACTAGTCCCTTTTTCTAAGTGACATGACAGAAGGTGGCAGCACAACCCCACTTTTTTATCACCATCGGGCCCTTGCCAGAAAGCAGCTTATCCCTGCTCGTAAGCCTCGCCCGAGAGGAGGAAGTGCCGGGCTCGAGGTGGGCCTACGCCCTCGACAGGCGTCCCGCTCCAGCTCACACACGTCACCATGCCCTTCACACATTTTCTTCAGGTCAGTTGCCACACAGCAATTTAATAGGCCTGTTATACTGTAAAGTGACATCAGGAAGTGTGGTATTGGTGCCCAGTGGCTCTGTACATTTCCACTGAAGGCTGATGTAAATGAGGCGTCATGCTGAAGTTCAGAGATTATGATTTTCATATGACCTGTTATGGCATCTGTCCTTGTAGAACAGCACATACTTATTGGATAGTTACTGTAGCTCCTCCCCCGTACCTCTGTACAGAAGTAATCTAATGTAGTGATGCTGACATACAGATTTATAGTGACTTTCAGAGCACTTTGTGACGGTAAATCTTTGCATCCTTTTGTAAATCGCATTTTACTTGCTTCACACATGTTTAACATCATACAGTAAAAGACCTCTAATGCTCTTAATGAGTCAGTAGGTTTTATGTATTTTACATATGAATGATTGATATCCTCTTAAATACTTCCTTAACAGTTGCAGAAGGCTGAGGTTGCCTCTCTGTAGTGCCAAATTACTCTATATCTGATGATGGCTAGTGTCCCACTGTTGGCTAAGTCTTGTGTAAAAGCTGCAGAAAATACCTTTGTGTCAAATGTGCACGTTGAGTATGTCAAGGTGTCTTATTGGCAGCTGTGATTAGACCTGAGGAATACCATACAGAAATATGAGGACTTACTGGAAATGCGTGCGGTCACGTAATTCTGTGCCCTCACCTTTTCAAAGTCAGAGGAAGTCACATGTCCAGATTGCTAGATACCTGGGCTCCCAGCCAGCATTCCTGCCCTTACTGATAAAGGCCTGTGGAAGGGGACTTCAGTCTTCCTGTCACATGAGCTCTGATTAGCTGAACTCTGAGAGCCTTGTAAGATACAGTTTGAATTAGGTTGTCGGATAAAAAAAAAAAAATTCTCATCTTTTTTTTTTATGGACCTCACTATGTGGACTCATTGTTAATTTGAAGTTGTGGTGGCTTTGACAGTGAGCACATGTAGCTGCTACTAAGCTCTAAACCATGTGGAATGTGGTCGGTCAGCTTTAAAGCATGGGGAAACTGTGACAGTTCAGAAATGACATTCATGAATTGCTCTCACTAGAAACCAAGCGGTCTTACAGATCTTACAGGATCTTTTGCTTACCGAACTTAATCAGCACATTTAACCTCAATTCACTAAAGTGAAACACTTTGTCATTACATAGAGTGATGTGAGCTTTCATGTTCGTGTCTTAAAAACGATCTGCTTTTCTGATGTAGTATATGTTATTTTCTTGTGATTCCAATCAAGAATTGTAGAAAAATGTTCAAAAATATATTGAGATGCATAAAAAAAACCAACACATGAGTACTGTAATAGCTTTCATTGTGTTTTTAAAGCCTCTCACTATGTATGGAAAAACTGTTGTACCATAGGATGTGGGACCAAGATTCTTTTTATCTTTAAACAGTGTAGTCAGCCACAGTGTGAATTGTGTCATGCTTTCTTTGACAGTCACAGATGAACGAGAGACCGCTGTGTTTCAGCACTGGTCCCGTGGCTGAGAAAAGTCTACATATCTTGCAGTGGCATGGATAAAACGAAGCAGTTGGTCACAAACACAAATGTAGATTGTCCTTAAGGTTGAATAGAGGTTGGATCTAAGATGACTGTTAGATGACAGGCCTTGGGTTTGATTTCACAGCGAAGAAGAAATGCCCTCTGTGTAGAGTTTGTATGCTCTGCTTGAATATGTGTGAGCTTTGTTCAGGTTTATACCCGCCTTCCAAAGACATTATTGTTGGCATAATGCTGTCCGGAATGTAATCCTGCCTTGACCCTGAGCTTCTGGGACAAGCTGGAAGCTTCTGTCCCTTCTAAAACTAGGTCATGTGCTTTTTGCTGTATTGCCTCTACAACAGTTGTCTAACATTTTAATTTCTTATTCACAACAAAACAACACATTTCTGTCTTGCAGTGTCAGGAGACGGGGAAGCTTTGGTAAGTAGCATTTGAAAAAGTTCCTGAGTGGACTGTGTTTTATAGAGATTCAAACAGGGTGGTGGCTTGGGACTATGATTGCTTAACACTGGCACACCTTTTGGCATTCCTGCTGCACATGGATGTGTCAGCTATGAGGTGCATGCTGAGCGGGCTCTGCAGATCTCAGGGGGTGGCGGTAACGGGTCTTGGGTTTGATTTCATGCTGAAGGAGATTCAGTGTGAGATTCGCCCCTCTGGCGTTCACTCGGAGAGCCACGTGCGTAGGGCTGTCCAGACATCTCCGATGTCCAATTACAAAAAGTGGATAAATACTTGTTTGTGGGTGATTAAAATTACAACATTGTGAGTTACAATGCTAGAAACATTTTAAAGAGTTTAAATGAGAAAAAAAACCCATTGGATTTGATGTTACGTTAAGCAGTTAATATGAATAAATGTTACCTTTTTATTAAAGCAGTTACACCCAAAGTGTAATGTACACCCAGAGTATACATTGACTAATTTGATTTGTTGTTTTACTTTTAATGTGTTGAGTTTGAATAATGTTTATTCTATCTTTTGTAGAGCAGTTGTGATTTCTGTTCTTAAATGTGCTCATTGTTCTTCAAATTGATATCATGATGACTGTGGTTTTCCAGGATGAAGACTCCGAGTTCACTTTAGCCACGGATTTTGAAATTGGCCATTTTTTCCGTGAGCGGATAGTCCCCCGGGCGGTGCTGTATTTTACTGGAGAGGCCTTGGAGGATGAGAGCGTAGGTGTTGACCTTCACTGCACTTGCTGTTGTTGCCATTGTGTTTTCTGCAGCTGTCTGGGGTTTAACTTTTTTTTTTTTGCAGTTCGAAGAGGAGGAGGGAGAGGAAGGTGAAGAGGAGGTGAGTGCAACGGATTTCAAAATGTCAATATTGCAAGACTGTGATCTGTTTTATTTCTCATACCTTACCGATCAGGCGTGCATCTTCATTTAGCGTGCATCTTACGTGATCAAAATGGTAACCTAAACTTGGATTTATTTATTGCGTGCAAATTCATCGCATGATAATAAATGTTAAATGACATTGTTGCTATTTCACTGTTTTTGCTGTAGTGTGACATCAAGGGTTACTTAGAAGTCCATCCAAGGGATTTCTTTTAAATCAGAAGCCTTGATGTTCTAGTCCAGGAGTCTCGGCAGTACATTAGGGATCTTTACACTGTACAGACAGCTGCTGCAGAAATAGTTAATTATTGCTCAGACATTTTGCACCAGTGGTGTTGTTTTTTGAGGTGCTGTAATACCTCTTGATAGTCCCAGTTTCACCCACATAAAGCATAGCCTGAATTGAAACCTGTGATGTCTGGACTGCAGGCCCGAACTGCTTTTTTACAGATCGGGTATCTTTACAGACTTGCAAAAAAAATAGTTCCCCGACGTGATTTTCTGTTCGGATGATGTCATGTTTGTAATTCGTTACCAAACCTGGGTTTAGGATGGAAAAGCACAGTGTGGTTGCCTTGTTCTTCAGCTTTCTGATTATCTTTTCGAAGAGCTCAGTCTCCATAAACAGGTGCTACACTGTACAGTGAATCAGACTGTATTTTAATTCCCTTTTTTTCTTCAAACAGGACCACGAAGAGGAGGGAGAAGAAGATGACGAGGCCGACTATGATCCTAAGGTCAGTTTTCAAAGTGCTTTAATTTCCCTAAGCAACCTGGAATTTCTCCCTAATTTTGAATGAATTTCCAGGATTAGGCTGGTTACCTTTCTGATTTGGCTAAATATCCATTCTCCTGCTTCTATTCATTGTAATTAATCCTTATGAGAAAGACTGACAAGGTGTTATCAAGGGTTCTAGAATCATGGCTTTTAGGAAGGGCCAGTCAGTCTGCAGATGATGGAAATTTACTGATGAGTATATTGATTCCTGTTTTCATCTTTGTACAGAAGATTTATTCCTACTGAATCAGGAAGGTAGAAGTTGAACCAATTGTTACTAGTTGCTTTAGGTGGAAGAGATGGTAGCTACAGATGTGGATACAAAATATAGGTGTAGGAAATATGCTTTCTTAGCGTGTCTGTCCATCCTGCTTCATACCCCTTTTTATTTTTCTTCATCAGAAAATGTGTCCCAGTGAAATATGTGTTTCAGGACTGCGTAGATTGGTCATGTTATTTATGAATAGCTAAGCTCATTGCAGACATGGTTTTAAATCATTAGATAATTAGTTGTTTTGATTACATTGCTTTAGACTTGTCTGGTTATCGACAAGTCCACCAAGGGATCTCAGATTAGACAAAAGCATCTTGCAAATTGTGAGTAATAATAAATGCAGAAATGAAATTATTTAGAAGACTACAGCCTCTAAGGCTTCTGTAAGAACACAAGATGGCAGTACGTAATTAAATCAATTTTATGGAATTGGAGTTTCTTTCATTTGCAGAAATCTATGTTGAAATATTTTTTCTTCCTTAAAAAATCAACATTCACTGATTATTCTATCTTTATAGATTGGTGTTCAATGATTATTTTTTCTTTCTTACTCCCCCTGTATAGGCATAATTCATTCTCACTTCATAAACCTATAGGTAAGGGAGAAAATGGACATCTCCGGTCTTCATCATTTCTTTGTCTCACCCTGTATCTGTCTGAATGTAGCTGTCCTCCTTGTGCTGTATCCTTAACAGCAAAGCCTGCATGATCAAATGGCATCACCCAGACATCCTGGTTGTAGTGCTGCTGTGTGTGCTGTTTGAAATTGGAAAAGCACACAGTATGAAAGGATTGTAATATTTGTGAGCCCTTTGTGGTTTGTCTTAGCTGTAATATGATACCACATTTAAGGCAGATATTGCCAGCTCTTTTTCCCACATTTTGACCATTATGATTCGATTATAGTTTGATTTGCTGATTGGCAATGTAAATCAAAGTATTTTCCTGTCAGAAAAGATCCTAAGTGGCCAAGAAACCAAAAATCATTCTAAACTGGGAACTGAGAGCCTGTGTGCAACAGGTCTTTTTTTCACTTGCAGCTGTCATTCCTGGCTGTGCTGTCCAGGATGTCTTTTTTTTTTTCTAAGAGTGGAAGTAGGCATCATATCTCCGGAACAGTTTCTTCTTTCTCAGACTAGGAGGCAGTGTTTTCTCTAACAAGGAAGACCTTAAACTTTGTGGTGTTTTCATAGTGTCGACAAAGGTTCTCCTCTTTTCTTAGCTGCTTTCTGCGTCCTGTCTGAGGTGACAAAATGAGTGATGTCTCCCCTGTTTCAAGCTACTATTAACACTGTGGCCTCCTCCATATCCGCTTAAGCTTTGAAAATCCCACTCCTCCCATCAGCTTTCCTGATGATTTTCTTTCCTTTTCTTCCCCTTCAGAAAAAATCCCAACTCTTCCCATCAGCTTTCTTGATGAGTTTCTTCCCCTTTCTTTTGCTTCAGAAAGAAGCCACCCAGCCTGCTGAGTGCAAGCAGCAGTAAATTGGAGCTCCCACTGCCATGAGACTAGAGACGCCACGTCACCCAGATCCAACCCGATTCTCCAGTCTGCAGAATACATCCCTCACTGCAAAGCAATCGTCAAAATAACTAAAAAAGACACAAAAATGTTTTAAGGTGCATGACATTTTCCCAGATTATTGCAGTTTTTGCTTTACGTTGTACAGTGTAAACCTCAAACTTTGGGGAACTAAGGCAGTACAGAAGTGCAACCTACATCCTGGGTCACTTTCTTCAGATGGATTCACAGCACCATCACATTCCAGACCCCCTGTGAAAGGAATCATTTTAGCCTACTGATTTCCGACTGATCCACTTGCTCACATCAAAGGTTACTCAGGGGTTTTGTATGCTAAGAATCGATGTTTTAAAGTCCCACCTAACACGATTCTTCATGTCATTGGGATTGCCTACTTATATTTACTCATGTCATGTTTTTATTTTGAAATCCAGTGTTTCACATATTTAGGTAAAGTTATTTATGTATTTTGTTCCTAGTTTGGATTTTGTATTGATTCAAATGAGAACTGTTTTGCACATCTTAATAGCACTCTGGCAAGCGAGGGGTTCATCCACTGTTAAATCCAAACCATTGTTTTGCCCCACACCTTCCCCCTGTTAAATATCAGTTTCCATAACGTGGAGCTGCTGCTTTGCCGAAGCATTTGCAAATAACTGAAACTGTATAAAGTTTTGCCAAATTATTTTTATTCTAGAAACTTACTTGTAAAATACGTAATGAAAAAATGTTTAGACTTAAACACAGGAAGGAGCTGGAACTGCACCAGCTGACGGATTGAGACGCATGCCTGGACTTGTGACCAAGTTGCAGACTCTCACATCCGTTCACTGGTAAGATTTGGAGTGCTGTCGTACTCGGCATGAGCAGGTGTTAGACTGTGGATTGTTCTCCCTTCTTGACAGGATTGACAGAAATGGAGAGCTCATTCAGCAGTACCTTGTACAGTAGCTCACATTTACATAAACTGAAATGCTTGAATAAGAATTACTGTCATCTTTACTACTCGAAAGTGTGATGCATTGATGAATGGTAATGCATTATAATATCCCTTAGGTCTTTAGAGCATCTAGTTTTTTTCTAAGTCTTCTAAGGTAAAGTTTCTGAGTGAATTTAGGCCTAACCATGAAAATACAGCAGGCCTAGGGATAGCATTTCTCAAACCCCTACTGAAAGCTACATGCAAAAGTGCACCTTTTAAATTGTTTTAAGCAGCTCTTCCCTGTAACAGAAACAGTTAAGCTAAGGCTGAAATTCAGTGGCTAACACCAGTCACAACACCATGCCCTTGTATGTAGACGTGTGTTTTGGCCTTACCTTGTTCTACACAATTTGTTACTCAATATGGTGTTTTCAATTTGTACAGAATAACTAGAATATTCTATTAAAAATTGTGCAACATGAAAATAGTCTGTTTTTTATGTGAATTTATGAGTGTGTTTATATATATATATTTTACAAACTGAGCGTTGGTTTGAAATCTATAAAAATAATTTGTCTGATCTCACATTGGAGTATCATTTGTTGTCACATGTCCAGCTATCCACTTACTGTGTTTATATAGCACAGAGAACAGGGCTGTTTGTATTGACAGCTTTCCTAGGTCTCGGGTTCTGCAGCACCTGAAGAGCTGCCCTAAGGCTGCAGTCTTTTTATGTGCTGATTTGCAGGGGTTCAAGTTAAGAAAGCAAGATACTAGTGATTTTAAATTCACTTCATTCATAAAGTCAAGTCTTGTGTGTTTCTACAGCAGTTAATATTTGCAGTCCCACTGATCTTTCTAGTTTTAATTATTGCCACTTCTGTCTTGTTTCATTCAGTTCTGCACTGATGTCCTTTTTGTAGAATTAGTAAATACTCTAAAGCTCATAGGTGTTTGGCACAGAGCTTGAGCAATTGAAATTGCCTGTTCACACCTATACATGAGATGATATTAAAGACGTGTATTATCACAAAATGAGGGAACACATATCTGCATTGCTTGTGTTGTCTATGATTTTCAGATAGCTCCTGTTTATTTCTTATGATTTATTTAGTTGTCGCAGCATTAGTTTGATGGTAACAGTTTGCCCCAATTGCATCTGAAGCAAAGGGGCACAGATGTACTGGACAGGTGTATTCTTGCAGTAGTGGAGGAGAACAAGAAAATTCAGTTATGTCATATCCCAAGTTAAAACAGATTTTTAAAGAGAAATGTAACTATAGTTTCAATACTCATAAATTTAAGGAGTGTGCATCAGCCAGTGTAGTAGTAGGGATATTTAGCACAGTGGATTGATGAAGCACACATTAGTTCTCAATTCACAATTTCATCTCTAACAGAGCTGTGGAGTTTCTGGACAAGCTTGCCCATTGTTGTGTTGAAAGGAGGTGTTCTTCTCTGGGGATGAGTGGGAATGTGGCATTCAGTTCCCATAACCCAGGAAACATCCTGCAGGCCTCGGCTGTGGTCAGTTTTCCAGGAATGAGCCTGTTTTTACAGGCAGCGTTCAGATATTGCATTTTGTTGTTGAGGAATTACACACAGCCTGAACAAGAACACGATTGAAGCCCAGAGTGTGAAAGAAATAGAGGAAGAAAATGAAAAGTAATCCAAGTCAACTTGAATTAGTGATTTTCCCTGACTTCTGCCTGAAAGAGCAAGATGCCGCTAGTGCTGACATCTCTGATTGAGAACATGAAGATACCTGACGCTAGCACAGAATTAATGGCAAAAGAGGTGAGAAATTGAATGTTTGGTGCTATGAAATTTAACTTCTGACACCTCAATCTGTCCAAAAGGAGGTGTTTATGTGTTGCTATTAAAATGGTTAAACTGAACTTCTTCAGTGTGTACATTTTACATTAGGTACAGCTAAGTTAATCCAGCCAAAAGCTGTAGACCTATGCATCTAGGTAACTGGTTAGAGTGCTGTTGCCACACTGACTGAAAACAGAATTTCTCATGCCACCAGTAGGTTCTGCCTTATCCCAGGGCCCACAGTTTTAAAATTAGATGTTTTGCACATTTCTCACAAGACCAGGAATCCTGCAGTCATAGACTCTCTTGGCCTTTCTGATTTTTGTCTGCCCGATGGTTTTATTTTCCCAAGCCTGGGAGAAAACAGTTCAACGTGTTACCATGGTAGATTTAAATGGCAGTCAGCCTAGAAAATAGTTAAATATTTAACATTAAGTTTTGAAACACTGAGCCTCTCGGAGAACTGAGAATATCGGAGTGGAATTCAAGCCAGAGGACATAACCTTGGAGGGTAGCAGTTTGATAAACTTGCCCTGAAGCGCTGGGGGCCAACACTGAACTTACTGGTGACTGATTTTTGCATTTTCCTGAAAGCTGGTACACGGTGGAGTATTTTCCTCATTTGTGTGGCGATTTACTCAGATCTTTGACTGCTCAAAAGATGCCCTGACATTGTGCATTGTTCTGCTCTTTCCACGCTATGCTTTTACCCTTTTTATGCAGAAACACAGCTCAGTCATCTGCTGAAATTTTAGCCACATTGGTAGGTCTGCCTTTACATTGCAATATGTAACCTTTTACCTTTAAGGGTTTCTAGAAAGGGACAAACTATGATGATGAGGAAGATCAAAAAATGAGAATTATTTGGTAAATGTGATTGATTACCACTACAAACCGTCATGTACTTTACACTGGCATTAATAAGTCTGTTATTGAACAAGCGGAATTTTGAAATGTTGCAGTCCAGCACCCTAAGTGGCTCCAGAACAGCAGTGGTATTGGTGCTTTAACCAGACAGTCATCAAACCTGACATAAGCTACAAAATTCCCCTGTGAATCAGCAGTAGAGCAGTATGGGTAGGGCCCAACTCGACACAAAGCAGACCATTTTCTAATTGTATCGTCTGTCTTTGTGCCAAATGTGTTTGTGACACTGAGGTACCTTCACCTATACATTCTTTACGTTTCCTTTGGGGGAGTTGGGTCCGTTTTTCATTACTGGAAACATTTAGGAAACACTGAATAGACACACACAGCAGCCCAATTAAAATTAAGGAGGTCGCAGCATAGAGTTTTGGTATGTTTTCAGTCAGTGACTTAAAAATTCAGAAGTTTGTCTGCTGCAACTTTAAGATGAAGCTATGGAAGGACTTACAGTACATAAACATGAAAGGCAAAAAAAACATTCTTGTTTAATTTTGTACTTAAATATAATATAACTTGAATGTAAATCTCCATTACACACGTTTAAATACTGATTGTTAAGGCTCTTCCTAATCACCTTATTTTATAGCATCACTGTGTAAAAATTAAAACGTACGTCTTAGGCTTCCAGATGACCGAACTTGTTAACATCCTCATTCTAAGAACAGGTTGGGCTGTCTGATCCAGATGCAACTTCTGTCAACCAGGATTTCTGCTGGGAGCAGAGTTGGAATTAGTTAGCCAGGGCAGTGCAGAGCTCTCCCTGGGCAGCTCCCAAGTGGCTCCAGTGAGCCAGGACAATCTGGGTCAGTATAAAAAGAAAAATGCGAAACAATGTTAAAATAAATGTCACAGAGTGTTTGATGAAATATGATTTCTACTGTATAAAGCACAAATCACCAACCAGAAAAATGTTTTGTGCTCTGTATGAACAGAAAAAAAGCACAATAGTGCACCTTTACTCCAGGATGAATTAGGTCCAGATCTTTCTGATCTCTTCCTATTAAAAACCTGTGGAAAATATTTGACGTGAAAGCTGTTGCATGTTAAAGAGACCTTTAATCTGTTTATACATGTAGTAGAAAACAGGGAGCGGACAGAGGAAGGTTTTAACAGCTCAGCACACTGGGAGCTGAATTTGAATTTCAGTTAAATTGAAGATATTGCAATCTCTTAAAACTGGGTTCTGCAACTGAGAAATACAGGCATTAGGCATTGCTAATACTTTTTGTAGACTGTATTCCATAAGCTGCTTTGACTAGGAAAGAAAGTAATAATCACAAGACAAAGTCTGTGACCACCACGTGCAGCAGGAGAGACCACCCTCTCTCTCGAAAGAAGGTCATTCCCAGATCACAAAGGGAAATTAGATGCAGACACCTGTTCCAATATTTGTGTGTCAGTTTGGATTTGTTTTCAGAGTTCAGCCAAGGCCATCCATCTGCAACACCCTTTTCTTTTTGTTCAACGTGATATATTGAGGCCAATCAACATGCTTTTGTATTCCAGCTTCATATTTTATTTCAAACCAATTTCTGAAAAAAAGTTTGCTCATTCTCCAGGAAAGGAAGAATTGATTCAGAGATTTCAGCTTCAGCTGTCTGTAAATAAACATAACATAATGGTGAGTTTGTGATTTCAGAAATACATTATCTGTAATGAAACAATGATCAATTGTCCTTGCTTCAGTTGAAGCATGACTGCATTCATCTGCATCTTTTTAGATTAAAACCTTTTCCCAATTCTCTTCGGATTCTTGGAGAAATGTCTGGAGCTCTGATTGGATTGATCCCATATGTGATCTTCTGTCCCCGTTTTGCGGGAACATTGATTTTTAAACCCCCCTGGTGGGTTTTTCTAGAATTTTGTAAACAATCAAGCAGTGATCGGTTATGCTAAAAAAAGAAAGTTCTTTCTTACAGACCAGGTGTGGTTTCAAACGAGACATGGCATACAGGAGTGAATAAGAACATCCTAATGCTTCACTGATGTACTAGAAGATTTCAGACACAGGAACATGGGATTTTGAGGAAAGCTGAGCTGCACAGACAGTTTATAGAGCTTCACTGGGTTACCTAACCGGATGTTTCACCATCTGCTAACCAGGCCTCTGTGCCCTCTCAGGAGGAGCCTGTTTCCGACTGTCTGCCTAGACAGCAGCCTTTCCTAGGATCTCGTTCTTGTGAGGGCCTCTTGCCTTGGCAGCTCATCAGTGATTTCCGTTCCTTTGAATTCAGTCCATTAACATTTAATCCCTGGGTTGTTATTACCACAGCAAGCAATTATTAGAGCTTGAGTGGGCAGCTCTTCACAGAGGGAAAGGCCCTTTTTTACATCTGCTTTTTATGCTTGAACACGTTACTGATCTTCTGTTTGGGTTCCAGGGCTGTGTGATCGCCATGGCAATGAAAAGGCTACAACACAGGCTCGTTCTGCCAAACCCTGAGTCAGGAGGAGTTACATGATAACACCTCCAATTTTCCAATTTTGAAATGAAAGGCTGCCAGAATAGCTGTGTTGTTAACAGTGATTCATGAATGGATGTAGTTTAGTGCTTGCTATGGGTTTGTGGCATGATACACCTACTGTAGCCCTGGAACAGTAATAAAGAAGGCATAAATCATTCTAGCTTCAATTAGCCCAAAAGACACAGGGTGGGGTTAAAGTCTGTGTGGTTTCCCTCCACTACCACTAACAATGACTTAAACATTTACAATTTTATCAAGGTCTGTACCAATATTTGCTCAACCATAATTTCAATCACATATAAAATGCCATGCCGTTTTTTTACTTTAAAGATTGCAATTAACTCTTTTTTTTTTATAACGGACCATTTTATGCTTCATACTTTGGAACCACTAATTATTGTCCTGGCTCACCACCCAGGTACTGCAGAACATCTCCGCGAATGCGCACTGCACCAGGCAGGGACTTTAGCAGCAGCTACATGGGAGGCACATGTCTCACTGATGTCTCCACAAGTCTGCGAGGACTCGACAAGTCAGGCTACTTTTCCACCAGAGGGAGAGAAGGTCACGGCCAAATACTGCCCACATCACCCTGTTGGCCATTTGATCATTGTATCTTCCTCCAGGTTGGGCTGTGGGCTACAGGACTCGACCCGCATTCGGAACAAGTGCTTTTACATGCTTTAAAATTATGGTTCAATGCCAGCCACTCTGGCATCACACCACATACACAAGGAATCTGCGTTAGATATTTACGCTGACACTAAGGACAGGAAGGAAGGAGGATCTGTTCAAGGGCATTGGAAATGTTCGCAAAACACCCTGACGCCTAAACTCTCTACCTTGGATGTTGTTCCTTATTGTTTAAAGATAGTCCAGGCTACTCTTTTTGAATTATTTTTCAAATGTGTTGTTTTAATGCAAAACTATTCCCTGAGAAAGCTGTGAAAGTTCAGAGTTGTTTTAACCATGCCCAAGACTTTCTTATTGATCATTAGGGGAATTCTATGCAGCTTCCTTTCCTTTACGATTTAGCGCAGTGTAGCAGTGTTTAACATTTACTATCTTATTTCCGGCTCATGAATGGCAAGGTTATGTCGCTAACACTTTTAGAATCGCTAATGAAGTGCAGGAGGTAATTATGTTCGTGACAGTATCTTTGAATCCCATTCAATTTCAGTTTTATTGCATTAATGAAATCAGTAAAGAATGGTACTTCCTTCCTTTGATTATCCCCCTTGATTTATTAAAGTCATAACTCTTTGTATGTTCCCATTTGCCCTTTGTTTAATATCAGGGTAGGATGTGGTTTTGTAGACATACCATGAGTGCACAGTGCTAAGCTTTATCTCTCTAGTTAAAATTTACTTTCTTTATCAGAAGTTATATGGATGAATGTAAACAAGCTATTTCAAACGAGCAGTCCAGATGATTTGCAGTACAGGTTATTCAATTTCTACCGCAGTTTCGTTTTGATAATAAATGAATGCTAGCTGAAGCACCACATTCACAGTATATACTGTATGCTTGTTTCTGTGATAAAATATCTGCATTTTAGTGCGTGTGGCACAGACACACACACACCATGAGTACTTTCAACTGTTTTGAGAGTAGTTTTTTATGCATAGCTTAACTCTGTTGTCAGCAGGAGCACCAGACTTAAAAAAGCATACCCTCAGCAAAGCCTGACATTACCTGTGGCTTCTAACACTGGTATAAAACCACCTGCAGGACTGGCATACAGCTGTGTTTGTGTACCATCTCTCTCCCTTTGTCTGCTGGTCAAGGTCAGAGTTAAACACCTGTTAGTATGAGCTTAACAGCTGTACGTGTCTGAAACCCTTTAGCCATGCAAATCAGGCCCCCGAGCAAACAGCTTTCAACACTTATTCTTGAATGAACTTCTCTCACATAGATTGCTGGGTATGATCTTATTTTGTCAGCAAATTATCTCCCTTGTTTCTGTGTCAATAAACACAGAGCCAAACTGCCACAGCAACAGGGCGAGGAATTATAATGAGTTCATGGGCCTGCTCTTAACCACTAAGTGCTATAACTGACTCCTTCCCCCAGTCCCTGTCTCTGCTTCTCTTGATCCCGTCACCCTTTCTCTCACTGCTACAGTCAAAAACCAACACTGCCTTTGATTTATTTCCGTCTCCTACCATATTGTTTGTGATCTGCCCTTTCTTGACAACATGTGCATCTACCCGGTTCCTGGTCCAAGCCTTTGTTCTCTCTAGGCTCTACCAATGCAACTTTCTTCTAGTTGATTTTCCTGCATCACCTGCTTGACATCTCCAAATCATTCAAAATGCTGCTGCTTGCTGAATATTCTCCATGCCTTGCTTTTAGAAAATCCTTATTCTTACCTAAAGGCTACTTGATAGCTCCGACTGTTCCAGCCTCCAGTCCCTCTCCCCTCCTCACACCCTGTCTCATCCACTTGTCTTCTGCTGGTCGCTAGGCTGTTTCTTCTTGGCTTCTTGCTCAGTTGATTCTGGTCCTTAGCCACCCCTGTAGTGAGACAGGACACTATGGGTCATCTGGGCAGAATATCTTGCTGCACTTTCTTAAGATCCACCTGTTTATACCCTAACCTTTAGATGATTTATCATTCTAATTTCTTTTTTTTCCCCCTTAATTTTTGCAAACTTTTATTTTCAATTATTTAACTTGTTTTGCCATTATAGTCAAACTGTTGTGTTTATTAATTCATGTTGTTTATCCCTCTTAACTATATGTACAGTAGTTTTACTCTCTTTAATTGTCAGTTCCATTGTTCCCTAAATAAAGTAATAACTACTGCTGATTCACATGACAGTTACAGAAATTGTAAAATGTAATGTAAAGAGGATTCTGCTTTTCCTAATTAAGAGCTTAAAATATTTAAGTGTATGTCTAATATGTTAAAACTGCATCTGATTTGTCATAGTAAGGAACCAGTCAGTACTTGGGGATAACAAGGGATGGCCTGTTTGAACTTTGCAATATCTCAGATGCCTCACTCTAAGAAGCTGCTGTAGATGTGAGACAGATCTGCTCTTATTTTCATCAGTTTTATAAGGAGGCTACCGACTGTGCACATGCTGTTTCATCAACAGAAACAAATCATTAACATTTATCAGCAAGAATATTTTAAAGTTTTATACTTGCACATGTGTAAGTACACATCTATATAAATTGTATCAGGAATGCAATCTATGTTCAAACAAATATCCTGAACTTTGCACAGTCAATAATGTATTGGAAATTATTTTGCCTGTAGGTTTTAGGGTTCATTGACAATCTGTGTATCTGTTTTAAGGCTGGCACCTCTCAGATCATCTTTCAGTCTGGAAATGAAAAAGCAGGACTGAAAAATGACATTGAAAGGTGTTCTTGCTTTAAACTGTCTCTGACCACCGTAAGGGGAACTTCTGCTTGTTTTTGTCACATATTGTCAAATGTAGTTGGATTGTAATTGTTATTGTTAAGTAGGTGTCAAAGTCTGGACATTTTATCAACACTTAGCACAGCCCTTGCTAAGCAAACCCATCCATCTATTTTCTATCTGCTTCTTCCAATCCAGGGTCGCAGAGGAGCCAGAGCCTGTCCCAGCGAGTAGCACAAGCAAAGTGGGGTTCACACCGGATGGGATGCTAGTCCATCACAGGGCAGACAGACAAACACAGACAAGCACACACTCCACTAACACCAGGGCCGGTTAACCTGCTAGTATGTCTTTAGACTGTAGGAGGAAACCGGAGCAACCAGAGGAAACCCCATAAACACAGGTGGAGCATACAAACTCCACACAGACAGTGCCCCAGGTCCAGAAATGAACCCAGGACCCCAGCGCTGCGAGGCAGCAATGCTCACCACTGTGCCATCATGCCACTATTTCATGGAAACCACCTCCTACAAATTCAATATTTCAATGCTCTCAAAGGGGCTTTGGCTGAGGTGGCAGAACCTGTCTCAGTTTATATAGCAAGCACGACTTGAGAGCCAGCAGGAAAAGCAGAATGATGTTAGCCTGATAACAGGTGTTGTGAGTTTAAGTAGAGAGGTGGGGCATTCTCAGGCGTTCTGTTTCATTACGCTTCCCATTGTCTTCATTTCCTTGGTAGTGAGGCTTCTTTTCTTTTTTCTGTTTCCCACGGATGTGGTTGCCACCTCTACATAGCTGAGGCGTATTTGCACAATAGTTAGAATAGTTTCTGCAAATCATGCAAGGACTCATGAAGGAATACTTGTACGCAATGCCTAGTGAAAGCACTGTCCCTGCTTATACAAATAACCTGGCTTACATAAAAGTCTGTTCAACATTACAGACTGTCCAGAAAAATGCCTTGATTTCAAGTCTGTGTGGTGACATACTGCAGATACAGATAGGCTGAATGTGTTCAGATGGCTGTTGTGGTGTGTGAAATATTTCAGCCTGTTTCATCTCTCTTGCTGAAAGCATGTGTTGTACAGGTGGACAGATGGTGCATTCCTATCAGAGCCTATTCCTGTGTGTGGTCAACAAGGGTGCGTTCTGACTTCACAAAAGGCTGTTTATATTGTGGTTTCCCAGGAAATAATGACACCCTCTCTTTTTGAAGGTGCACAGCAATTAAGCTAAAGTTTTAATAAAAGCCTCCAAAGACATGGTGGTAGGTCAACTGGCTTTTCGGGAAACTGGTGCTGGCGTGAGTGTGTCTGTGTGTCTGTGTGTCTGTGTGTCTGTGTGTCTGTCTGTGTCTGTCTGTGTCTGTCTGTGTCTGTCTGTGTCTGTCTGTGTCTGTCTGTCTGTGTCTGTCTGTCTGTGTCTGTCTGTCTGTGTCTGTCTGTCTGTCTGTCTGTCTGTCTGTCTGATGAGATGGACTGGCGTCCTGTCCAGAGTGTATCCTGCCTTGTGCCTGTTGCTGCTGGGTTTGACTCTGGCTACCCAGCAAACCTGTGTTGGTTAAAGCAGTTAGAAAACGGATGCTTGGAATAACATCTTCTCCAAAACATTGTACAAAATTGAAACATCATATCGTTTTAGATACCTGTACTTTTCAATAAACATACTAAAAAGACTTCTTCTTTTCCGTCAACAGTTATGGAGGAGGGAAATTAAATTATTATTTTTCAGTCATACATTAAATAAAGTCATTCTAAATCTGTAAGCTGAGACAAGTGGCCCATCAGGCTGCAGTTTATCCCAGTTTCCATGGCAGGAGACAGACAGAGGATGACTTTCCACCTGCCAGTTCAGCCCTGGGCATCTGCCCCAGCAATGCTTAAACATTCAGACAGAAGTGTACAAAATGAGCAGGATTTGTCTGGACATAGAAAAGGTGGAGCAAAATACTTTGTTTAACAGTAAGACTTATTTTTTACTCAAGACTATTCCACTTCCACCATAGTTCTGGTAACAAAAGCAGGGAAATGGAGAAGGCAATAAATTACCTGAATTTCTTCTTAGCACTGACATTTAACACCTACAGTGTAAATATTCAAGAAACATTTCTCTCAATACCCGGGAGAAGCTGAAGTGAAGGGAAGCAAAACTTTTCTGTCTTGTGTCAAAAGGAGGCAGAGTTTGCATACCATTTTGGTGTGGCACAGTGAGCAGGGTGTTGCTCTTAAAAACCTGGGAAACTGAAGCCGCAGAAGTGCTTTCACTTGGATTCAGTCCACACCTATTACCCAACCTCTTGGCATGGGGACAGACAGTGAAAGAGATTTGGAACTTTTCAGCTGGTTATGTCTGTGGCCATGGGAATACGACACCAGCAGGCTGTTTCAGTATGAGGGAGAAGACCCTGGTGATGCCTAGAAAGGTCAGTGCTGAGATGAACACAGGCTCTGACACAGGGGAAGGGCTGTTATTTGAAATGCTGCAAGTGTGTGAAAATGAAACTCAAGGAGGATGAGTAACCATGGGATGGTTCTAACTGAACAGAGAATTGTGTGTAACGACTTTACAATTACATGAAGGTTGCAAATAATTACGGAGCATTATTGCATGAAATTAAATTACCACTACCGATGGGTGAGCAAAAGTTTTGTAATGACAATTAAGGAATGTAATCCTTTTAATAGTTTTGGACAGGGCAATATTTGGACAATGTTTTTAAAAAGTGCAATCCTTTCAATGATAAAATTCATATTAAATTATTTTTTTATCCATGTAACAAATATTCATCCATTTTCAGATCCTGCTTTATTTTTAGGAGGTTACAGTGAGCCGGTCACCAGTCTCGTGCAGGGCACGCTCTTGCACACACACGGGGGAATTCAGAAGTGTTCACTCTTCTCTAGTGCATGGCTTCAGACAGGGGGAGGGACCCGGAGAAAGGCCATGCAAACATCCAGACACCTTGCAAGCTCCACACAGAAAGCACCATCAAACAGCAGTGCTCACCACCATGCCTCCACACAGCCGGTCTCACAAATGTGTTTACCAGTAATTCCACTTGCACAGTTTAAAATATATATATATATATTGAACCTCTGCAGGTGATTTAAAGCAGGAAATCAAATGCAAACAGCAGTCATTAATTCTTAATAACACCAATTAGACTCAGCATTGCTCAATCCTGCTGGGCGTACTTGTATCTGGAATGTCATTACAGGTTACATTTGCATGTGTCTGATCCAGTGGGATTACAGTAAATTGTTAGGAGAAGCTGGCCAGGTGATGAGATGAGATGACTCAACGGAACCTTAGTTCAGCAACAGGTTTAGGAGAATTAACTATGAACAACCTGCTTTAATCCAAGCTGGACAGGACCTGACAAAAGGAGACAGTCAGAGTTCGTACTTGCAGAGGCATGGAAATACTGGAATCGCCAGACCCACTTGGGTGGGGGTGGCTAAACCCCTGGACACTGACCTGTAGGCTGGGATTTTGTAAATAATGGAGAACATGATGCTTTAGCAACTGGCTCAGCTGTTGACAGGAGGGTTTTTGGAAACTACTGTAGATTAAAGGGAGTTTTCCAGGTTTTCTGGTTTCCTAAGTGTGGTTACCGGGGAGACTTTCACAACTTTGTTTTAAGGGAGAGGAAATGTTTGTCCTGTAAAAAGGCAGCTGTGTCATGGATATTTCATCAGGTAAATGATGACATTTGCTTCCACTCCTGGGTTAATGGTAAACCACAATTACAGGAGCTTGTTTCCATACGTGGACTCAAGTCTCCTTGCTTGCACTCAATCCCTGGCATATCGGTTGAAGGTGAGGAGCCAGACAAAGGGCGATCCAAAGCACACCCCCACGCTGGCCCCGTTGAGACCCGAGAGATCCCTGCCTGAATCCGGAAGACCGGGAGCCACCCTAGAAGCAGTGCTCACCGGCGAGCTCCTGGTGGGCGGGCCACCCACATGCCCCGTGTGACCACATGGCAGCTCACCATGGGGGGGCATGGGGGCCAAGTGCAATGCCTGGGAGGAGATGGGCATGGGCAGGGCATGGGCTTCTCTTCAAATACCGAGACACTGATTTGCTCGAGGCAACAGGTCTGATTTAGTCAAACTAAGTATTCAGCATATCCTGCATTCAT